CCAGGGGAGGGGAGTGTCAGTGGGTCCAGGGGTTTTGGTTTTGTTTTTTTTTAGGGTGATGAAAATATTCTGGACCTAGATAGTGGGGATGGTCACACAACATTATGAACAAACTAAATGTCATTAATGGCAAATTTTACGTGATGTATATTTTACCACAATGAAATAAAGAAGACATGCAGGCCGTGACCATTCGGAGGTGGGCGAAGCCACCCCACGCCCCGACGTCAGCAGTGCTGAGTGTGAGATGCTCGACAGCATCCTTTATGCTCAAATAAACCAACGTGCACACTTATTGGATTTGTCCCCTTTTTAAAATTGTAACTCAATGAGTTCATACACATTTCCTGGGCAACCTGCTGTGTTTCACTTAATGACACATCGCAGACACCCCTCGTGACCGTCCCTGGGCCCATACATACAAATTAAGTCATTTTTTAATAGCTGCAAAATGTGCCCCTATCATTCCCACCGGGGGCCATTTGGAGCCTTTCCAGGCACTTGCCACCACCGACAGCTGTCGTGAACATCCGCATGTGTCTCCTTCTGTACCGGGGTTTCGTCTCTGCGGGGTGGATTTACAAAAGAGGGGTGGCCGGGCCAAGCCCCCGGCATCCTGACTGCCTCTCAGGGGTCGTCATTGTGCAACGCTCTACGAATGTGCCCCCCACCCCCGCCGTCCCCACAGTGTGAGAAAGAGCCCTTCCCCAGGCCACAGGGCTCACGCGCGTGCCACACACACATCACCAAACCGGATGTAATCAGTCCTGATCATTTTTCCAATTGCAAATCGACGACCCACGCCAACACATTGTACTGATGTATCGATTGGATCTGACAACTGGCGTGGCCAGCCTCCCTGTTCCGTGCCAGGTCTGGGGGCCTTCGGGCAGAGGGTCCACAGACCCTTACGGGTTGTGACGACAGCTGCAAATGGTCTCCCAGAAAAGAAGCCTGTGCAGACATGCACATTTTGCAGGCAGTTTCAGGGGTTCGGGCAGAAAAGCCCATCTGTGGCCCCAACTGCTGAGCCCTGCTCTTGAGTTTTGAAGGTGGCGCAGACTGCAGCATCTCTGACATTTCCGGGAACACAAACCCCTGCGTTTTTCTAAATGGTAATGGGTTTCTGTGCCCTCTGCTGGATGCGAGCCTGGTCCACGCCCACTGCAGAGGCAGAGCTGGAGACTGGAATTTTCCTCTCGCCTGAGAGCTTGTTTTTTTCCTCTGCTGCAGAACCGGCCCTGGAGTTTGAAGTTTAGAATGACTTTCTGGAAGTTGCTGAGGAAGCCCTGTACTTAATATCCAAATCAGCGAGTTTTAGGGAAATTATTAATCTCCCATGTTAGGAATTATTGGTTCTGGACGGAGACTCTTATTATATAAGGTTTGCTCTCTGGGAACCAGGAGACTATTGATCCCCAGCGAGTAAACATTTTAAGCAAATTAAGTGGAGGTGGTAATAATAATAATAATAATGGCTACTATTTTTCAAGTGTCTGCTCCGTGCCGAGCGTTTCATCTCCCCAAGGATGACAGGGCCAGGTTTTATGACCCAAATATTACAGACAAAGAAGCTGAGGCCCTCAGGAGGTCACACTGGTCTCAAGGTCACCCACTAGTTAGGGGTGGAGAGAGGAGTAGAATCCTGGTCCACGAATGTGCTGAAAACAATCCTAGCAAAAGGATTTTTGCCTGAGGAAGCCTGCTCTGTTTGCGTGTTTTCCAAAGGGAGATTAGTGAGATTCGGGGAGGAATCTAAGACATAGTAGCACCAGACAGAGATTAGAAGGGTTGAAAGAAATTCGAAAAGGCAGTAACTTTCGCCCTAGGTTTCAGTGTCACTCAGGGGCCACCCAAAGTCTCCTGAGATGCCACCAGTGGGACGTACTTCTGCCTCTCTGGGAAGCTCTGGTTGGTGAACATGCTTCAGATAAGGGAGCTTCCAGGTCTGAGACGGAGGGAGGAACTGGGAACTGAGCCCAGGCCCCCAGCTGAAACCTCGCAGACGAGTCTTCGGAGAGGGAAGGCAAAGTGCCGAAGACCGTGTAGAGCTGGGAGACCCACGGGGTGGCCAGAGGGCCAAGGGGACAGCCAGGGCACCCACACCCAGGGTCTGCAGGATGCTGGACACCAGGCCACTAGACTGGATGCAGAATAAGGCTCAGCATCTTTGTTTAGCGGCCCCTGAAACAGTGGGGTGGGAGGGGGACCAAAGGCTGGATGGCCCGGAGACCGGGTCAGCCAGGCCAGGTCTGGGCGGGATGTTCAGGATGCCCTCTGAACCACAGTCACCTCTTTCTAATTTATAGTGCCTCGACCTCCAGAAAGGACATACAATTAAAAGTCCGTACAAGATCGGCGACTCGTTTTAACTTGCTCAGGGGAAGAAAAATGGTAAGGAGCAGGGTGGACGGGTTTTTGCTCCCAGTGAGCCCTAACCTTGGCTCTGCGAATAGCAAGTGGTCCGCCCCGTTCCAAGGACTGTGTCCCAGGATGATGAAGAGATGCTGAGGGACCCTCCTCCACGCGGCCACAGAAATCCAAGGATGCTCAAAGGGCTCGGTCATCAGCTCTTCACTTCTCGGAACCTAAGGAAGCCCAGGAAAGGCATCCAGTGATTGTCCTCTCGCCCCTCTTGCTCAAACATCAATACCTTAGCCCGCGACCTCGGCAAGGTTTTCCAGCCAAGCTCGCAGACGACCACAGCCAGCGTACAGTGACTGCTTCCTGCCCCCCAGTTCCTCCAGCACCCTGGGGGACCAGGCACCACGAACCCGCCGTCTCTTCCACAGACGACTCTTGGCCCAGAGCAGCAGGGAACGGGCCCAAAGCCACGGGGCAGAGCCGGCAGGATGTGACCGGAGGCCCACGCTGTCACCAAGCCCCGCACCTCCCACTAGCATGGCAGCTCTTTGCCCAGCCTCCCGGGAACACCAGGACGGGGGAGCTGGGTATTCTACCCCAGCGACTGACCGAAGGGCCTTCCCAGAGGACGCCCGTCGTCCCCACGGGCAGGTAAGGCCCATCCGGGCGACTGCAGACCACAGCTAAAGACCGTCCCCAGGGCCTTGGGCCTAAAAGGACCTCAGAGTCCTACAAAAATGGTTGTAATAGCTCCCTCAAAATTTTTTCTTCTGTTGGCCCCAAAACAAACCAAAAAAAAAAAAAAAAAACCCCTTCAAAATAAATGTTTAATGAAATTTCTACAAAAGGTAACACAATTGCAAAAGACTGCAAATCAACTCCTCTACGGACATACTTTATTGACTACGCGAGGCAGGCTGTTTGATGTCGAGGTGGCCTAGGGCGAAGAGGCTCCAGGACCCACAGAAGTATTCCAATGACCCCGCCACGTTCTGAGCAAAAGGTCACCACAGAGAGTTTGGAACCTGCCCAGTTTCTGGCCAAGTGTTCAATTGAGTTGGGAGAATAGGAAGACGGGATGCTTGCCTCCGAAGTCCTGGGACAAGCGTCCAGCGGCTGGCTCTCCTAACCACAGAGACGGCGGCGCGAAGCTCCCGGCAGACGCATGACTTGGAGTAATACCACTTGTTAAGTTAAAAGGGTGCCCGTGTCCCGTCCGCCCCCACCCCCCAACACACCTCATTAGCTAAATGAATTGACCCCACTGGATGGGGTTACTTAATATCTGCCTGTGCAGAATGCCTGCCAAAAACGAGCTCTCAGTTTTGACATAGTTGATGCTAAACTATATTTTTTTCCTGCCTATTATTTGTCAAACAGACTGCTGAGCTGGGTGCAGCCGCGTCTAGCGAGTGTGAAGCCACATCATCAACACAGATCTTACTTGCCGTGACAGCAGGAAATGCGGCCAATTAATTCAGAGGCTGAATCCAGTTATTGGGATGGAAGCCCGGAAGGAGGGCGCCAGGATTCGCTGCCATTTTCCATCGCTCTGAAAGCAGAACCTCAGCGCCCGGGAGACGCTGCCACACGGGTCTCCGGAGGTGCGTCGGGGTCGAGGGCCTGAGAGAAACATACGTGGCAGGGCCCGCGACGGTGCTGCCCGTGGCCTCGGAGCTAAGGAACGTCCCAATGCGTCTAGGTTTGCTTCCACCACTTTCTTCTATGAAACGAGTTAGAGTGTGACAAGGGTCAGCTATAGGCGTGTCTCAAATCTGCTCCCTTTGAACCATTCCGTAGTCATAAAAAACGTTGCTCGGACCCCTTAAAAATCAGGACTTAATCATAACAAAAAGCCAGATTTCCAGCTCTAGAAAGTTCTGGAAAGATCTAGCCGCCTTCGACTCATTTTTCGCCGCGTCACGGCGCCCCCTTCAGACAGGGCTGCGCGTGTCGGTCACCCCTGTCTTCCTCCCCACACCCAGCTCACGCAGCAGACCCCTCAAAGCTGGCTCGGGAAACCTTCTGGAACATTACAAGCTGTGGGAGCATCTAGGTCCGTGAGTTTTGCAAACCAAAATTCCCAGCCCACGCTGCGCACGACCTCCGACCTTGGCCAGCACTAGCAATTCTGAGCGATACCAGCAGCGTCATCCTCACTGACGCTATTACTCTTACGAAGCATCTTACGAAGCTGGTGCATTAGTCGGTCTGCAGACGGGAGAGGAGGCAAGTGGCCCCATCCCGCCAAGCAGCGCTGTGGGATGCTGTGTACAAAGAGCTTAAAATGAAAGGCTGGCATCGCGCCTGTTAGGTCCGCGACAGATTACAAAATGAACACAACTCACCTACTGCTATCAACCTCCTCCCCAAGTCATTTGCAAACAGGACAGAGAGTTGAGTATCTGATAAAGATTAATCTCCATGTTTGGCTGCCTCCCTGCTGACCGGGGGCCCGTGTGGATCCGAACCCATGAGAAGTTACCCAGGTCGGCCCGGACGAGCTAAGTTCTGGTCTTCTTGGAGCCAGACCCGAACTTGACCATCCGAGAAGTCTTGCTCATGCTCAGGTCCATCGTGCCCTTCCTCCCAGACTTCAATATCCAGTAGAAGAGGAACAGCCGCCGCTCACTGTGCTAAAAAAAAATGGCCATGGGGGTCATCCCCATGGCATCCTTGGCGCTGATGGCGGCCCCGTGTCTGAGCAGCAGGTTTATACAGTCCAGCCGGCCCATGGCCGCAGCCACGTGCAGGGGTGTCCTTCCCATGGGGGTTCTGCTGAGACAGTTGGCCCCTGTAAAATAAGGGGACTGGCTGAGGGAGGCCACCTCCTGGTCACGAGCTGCACCTTCCAAAGACATTCAAGAAGAGGAGCGCTGAGGGCCGAGGCGGTGAGCGGGGCCCTTGGGAGGACGAGCAGTGAGCGTCAGGGAGGGGGCGTTGCACCCCCAGCACCCAGAGCTGCCTGGCCCCCGGCTGCTCCTCCGTGGCCGTCAGACATCTGCGCCCACATCGCTCTCCTCCAGCCCTGCTGCCAACACCCACTGCCCTGGGGGCCGTGTTCTAGGTCTTTACTGCTCTCTCTCACCCGCCTCCCCCCATCACTCCGCATCGCCCCCCACGACGCCCCTCCTCCC